TGTTCTGACCACAAGATGAGGTCTCTGTCTGCAGCAAAGATGCCCCTTCATGTTTAAGAGTCTGTTGTGGGACTTGTGGAATTAATAATTAGGCTAAGAGCAATACTTTTTTTGCTGTTGTAGATGTTTGAATGTCTATAAAAACCACTGGGAAGTTAACTGACCCCTCTTTTTAAGCCAAAGTGTGTTTCTTATTGTAACCTTTTAATAAGAAAGTGCCTCTTGAGAAGACTTTCTTAGCATGAAGTTGGACAGTACAAATAATAAGTGTTATATAAAAATGATATAAAATACACACAAATTTTATACATGAATATGATAAGAATTTTTGAATCTGTAAAAAATCTAAAAAATGCTTTTAAAACGTGCAATTATGTCCAGTGAGCTCTGTTCCAAAAGTGTATTCAGATTCATAAATGCTGATTTTAGCATACATAACTCTTTCTTCTGAATGAATGAATTGGGGCCACAACAATGATCCGAGGGCTGGAGCACCTCTCCTGTGAGGACAGGCTGAGAGGGTTGGGATTGTTCAGCCTGGAGAAGAGAAGGCTGCGGGGAGACCTTAGAGCAGCCTGCCAGTACCTGACGGGGGGCTACAAGAAAGCGGGAGGGGGACTTTTTACCGTGGAAGCGGGGTCCGCCCCCTCCCTGGCAGGGTTCAAGGCCAGGCTGGATGGAGCTCTGAGCACCCTGGGCTGGGGGAAGGGGTCCCTGCCCATAGCAGGGGGGTTGGAGCTGGATGATCTGCAAGGTCCCTTCCAAGCCATTCTATGATTCTGAGATCCTTAAAAGACGTTTACTGATGTAAAACCTTGCCTCAGTTGTTTACAAGGTCAGTTTGCACTTCAAAAAGCATTTCAGAATGCTTCTAAAATGTGTGCTGTGTGTGTTATGTAAAGGTCCCTTCCAAGCCATTCTATGATTCTGAGATCCTTAAAAGACGTTTACTGATGTAAAACCTTGCCTCAGTTGTTTACAAGGTCAGTTTGCACTTCAAAAAGCATTTCAGAATGCTTCTAAAATGTGTGCTGTGTGTGTTATGTAAGTTCAAAACAGTTCTAGGTATACCTACCAAGTCCAGCCACTTATAAAGATTTTTTTATTTTATTTTTTTTAGCCACTCAGCAGGTATCCACCTTTGATCAATGACATCTCTTTTTGGCTGCCTTCCGAGACATACTCCGAGAATGATTTCTACGATTTGGTTCGAACCGTTGGTGGAGACCTGATAGAAAAAGTTGTCCTAGTGGATGAATTTACCCATCCAAAGTAAGTAAAACTTTTAACGCTTTTCCTGCGATCAGAATATAAATATTTTATAAATATATTAGCTCTGTGTACCAAGAAATTCTTGATTCTTACAGTGTTTGCACATTTCGTTTTTTAGCTCCAAAACATTTTTACAACACTTTCAAGAAAAAATATTTTTACTTAAAAACGTTATCTTATGTTTCAGTTCTGTTCTAGTACTGAGCCTGTAGTTTTCGAACCACAGCCCCAGCGTGCTGTGCTCAGTAACTCCCGGCAGCAGGGAGCAGCTGCCTTGCTCAGTCCGTCTGTCGGCGCATGGCACTCTTCTCCGTAACATCTCTGATGTTCTAGTCCTGCTCTTCGCCGAGTGGCTGGTGTTTGTCTCCTTGTTGTCTTCCTTTCTCTTTCTAGTCCTGATTCGCTAGTAGACCTTTACTGTAAATGTCAGGGATAATTATGATTCGTTGCAGAATACTCTTGTTGGAGTTCAACAGGGAGAAAACAACAGACTTTGTTCCTTTCTTTCTGATTTACGCCGTTGAACAGCCTCTCAGGCTTCAGAATACCTTCGTGTGGCTGCAGCAGCACGGACACGACCACTGGGTGCACAGGTTGCTTCACTTATCTCAAGATCTCACAAGTATCAGCTATTACATATGCACTGTTTCTCAATGTGCTGTTTCCAAATTAAGAAGTAAATATGCTGCTGGCTACTCAACTTTCTAAAACTGCGGTTTAAAATAATTTCTCTTCTTTGAGATGACTTCTTTGGTGCTGTAGAAAGGCGGGTAATATACCTAATTGTAGTGTTTTTTACAGATGATAGGAAGATGCTTCATGTTGTGCTACAACACCTATAGTGTTTTTTTTTTCTTTCTACATCCAGATATTTTACCCTATTGTTCTTTTGAATTTGATGTGTGTTGCAGACTGGATGGATAGATTATTCTGTGGCCTAGTTTTCATGGTGTTTCACAGGATTAATTTTTTTTTTCCTTTTTATCCTTTTTGTGTGGTGTTATATGAGACTGTTTCTGCTGTGTGAAGAAACAGAAATGCCAGTGGAATTTGTATGGGCATCTGAAAGCTTTGAGTCATTAGTTGTTGAGTGGTCCTCACGCACAAATCATGCGAAAGGATCTTAACCCTATACTCAAAATGGTACGTACAGCAGAGGGATATAGACTAGGATAAGATAATGAGTACTATTCATTGTAAAGAATGAGACTATATCATCAGAGAAAATCAAAAGCAAGTTTGTTGCGGGTATGCATGACTGCTTATTGTCACCTGGACTGCACCATGGTATCAGTTAGCACAAGTGCCTAAACATTGAAGGCTGCTCACACAGATCCTGCTGAGAATATATTGAATTTTCGTCTGTCATGATGGTTCTGATACAGTACAATCAACATCTTTTTTGTAAGAATTTGGATGTTGGACCCATTTTTGGAACTGGTCCTTTCCATTCATTCATGCTGAATGCTTATTGTACGTGTAACACCTCTGTGTTCATTGCCACTTTTTGTCTGCGTTCTTCCCGGTGATACCAAACATGCTGTTAGCTTTGTTGTTGCATCTTCTCCTGGGGGATGATCCTACGTGCAGTGTAAGCAGCTCTGCCAAGGCTGAAGGTTTGGAGAAATCTTGTTCCTTGCTCCCTCAGACAGAGGCAGTATTATTCTGTGATTGCCCTTGCAGCTCGGTGGAGGAATCCACACACGCTGGGAGAGCCTTGCCAGCAGCGCTGCATCAGTTGCAGCTCAGCTCATGGGTCATGCTTCTCTTCTTCACTGAGAATGTTATCTTCTGTACTAGTAGAGTGGTGAGGTAGGGATAGGATTCACTAGTCTGGATTACTACTGTACGTGTTTTCTCCTTCCATGCGCTTTGACACATCCTGAACACGTACCGGGGTGACAGGTGTTCGCTACGAGATCTTCTCTTCCTCTGCAAGGAACACACCTCTGGTTCCCTCTGTGACCTCTGCAAATAGATGGAATGACTGCTCACTGAGAGTTGTCACACAGAGTTAGGACTTTACTAGTATTGTCCTCTAAAGCCATTAAACCCTCACTCAGTAGACATCGAAACAGGTTTTGACGCTACAAGGAGGAAACATTTCTCGCCTTCATGTCTGAAGAACTCGGGTGGTGACACTAATGGATTGTTGGTAAGTGATGTTGTAGTCCTCTTAGTTTGTTCAACTGCAACTATAATAAAAAAAATCTTTTAAAATGCCCCATTAGAAAACACTAATTCCAAGGAGATTATCTACGTCATTTAAAATGAATTATAGATAAAGACTATAACATAATGGTTGCTTTGCCCTTTCTTCTTAGAACATTGTGTGTGCAGATATGTAACTTCTGCGGACCCGTGACATAAGCCATGTCAGTCATTTTGTCTGTTCTCCAAAGCCTATGGAAGACAGACTATTTGAAATGAGTGTTCTGCTTAGTTGTAATTCCAAGATAATCGTCTTGTTACAGGAACGATACAGTGGCTTCTTTAATTCAGAGAAGCCTCTGGGCACAGAAATTAACAGAAGAGATCCTCAGTGTTGCTACGGATCTGTATGTCACAGATCTGGAGGCTTGTAATCATTATCTTGAATTTGTAGTGATTCTGGTGTGGAGGATGGGAGAGAAGTGTATAGGGCAGGGAAGCCTGCAGTGCTGCTGCCTTGACTGTTAGTTACTTACAAGCAGCTTAATAAGTTCAAGCCTGTAATTAATCACTTCTAGAATTTAAAATTCAGACTTACTGCATCCTTTAAAAATACCAGTTTCATGAGGAATTGGAACATTTGGCAGTCTTATTTTCCTTCTTAAACTACCTTTCTTGGTTATGGGTCTATAAAGACTGGAAAACAGAAAATGCTATACAAATAAAACTAATTTAGAACATAGAAAGAGGTCTTTGTCACCGTTTAAGACTTAATTGAGGTCCTTTATAGAGGCTGTGCCAAACTGTGTAGTTATCTTTCAGACTTTTCTGTGGTTCAGAAACCTTTCAGGGTTCCAGTGGGCTTTGGACTGATAACCATGCTCCAGTGCATTGCAATTACAGCGTGTATTAGCAGTGGAAACATATTCCTCTACAGGGGAAAGGAAAGGGGGGAATAAAAGCATGAGACAAGTAATTGGTTAAACAAGGAAGAGATGTCTGGGGGAAAAAAAAAGGAAATCTTGATTATCTGCTTTGTAAGGTGATAATGTTGAGAAGTCTTCCAGGAAGGCACAAACAATTAAAAGATTCAGGCAGAAGGAGTCTCATTGCTGAAAAGCACAAATTTAGAAGAGTGCCGAGTTACTGTGCTAGGGTAATTCAGAACCGTTCCAGCCTAAGTGCATCGTACATAAACTTGACTAACAAGACACAGCACTGAGGCAAACTGAGTACTGTGTGATGTGGGAAGAAGGCTTTCCAGAAAATAAACTTTTTGGTTCAGTTCAGTCTGCAAAATTTTGATTTTCTTTACAGCTGAAACTAATTATGATGGATGCCAGTGTAGTGGGGCTAGATCAGTTATAAAATGGTTAAGCAGAAAGTTATTTCATACTGCAGTGTCGTGTTACTTCGAGGTGGAATAATAAGCATTCTCTGTTAGAAAATACTGTACTAGCAGTAGTTAGGACATGTAGACATTTCTGTATTTACCTCGCTTGAATTTTGTCATTCCTCTAAATTCTACTGTACTAGCAGTAGTTAGGACATGTAGGCATTTCTGTATTTACCTCTCTTGAATTTTGTCATTCCTCTAAATTTCTGTTCACCAGTGCAGCAGGTGAACCCCACAGAGCAAAGCAATCCACGTGCTCGGTTCCAAGCAGAACACTTGAGTTTTAGCAACTAAGTGGAGGTAGGTAGCTTCTGCGTGAAGCGATCCTGGAAACCAGGACAGCTGTAGGGATGCTCAGCGAGAGTCCTCTGATCCACGAGAACTTCCTGCCTTCGGTTTCACCCCAGTGGTTCCAAACAGGTCCACCTGTCCCAAACACTGCTTTTGAGTCAAGAGCTTTGGACTGAAAGGAGAACGTGGGATTTTGAGGTGTCTGCAGTCCCCACCCGCCTCTCCGCGTTAGCTGTGTGTCTGCCCAGTGTGTCGCTTGAGGGGAGACGGCCTGGGGATCTCAGCTGCCAAACAGCACTTGGGACCTTAGACGGCTGCTCGGGGGGTTTAGAGCTGCAGTCAGACTGGGAAATCTGGGAATATGGGGTCCTTGAATAAGAGAGGAGCATCACCTGTGTGGGATGTGGCTCTTGCGTTCAGGCCAGGAGTCTGGGGGAGGGAGCGAGTAGCGCGTGAGACTGAACCGGTCGGAGGAGAATGCTGTCAGCCACGGGGAACTTCCCATCGCCCGTGGCAGAAGGGGCCGTCACAGACCCGTGCAGCTGAGCGTGGGTGGGAAAGTACAGCCCACTGTCACCTGATTTTTGGGATATTCTTGGGATCTAAATGTTGTATCAGACTTGTCAGGATGTAACTTCATCCAACATAACTAACGCAAAACGTGGCAGTAACACACCCGTTGTTCAGGTGTATAAAGAATAAATCAACATATATGAAGAAAAAGTTGTGGCGTTGCTGAAATGCCAAAGAAACGGAGTGGAACTGTGGTGGTTATGGCAAGAACAGGAGCAAGGAAAGCAGAACAGGGAAGAAATTACCCTTGGCAGCGAGCAAAATGTTTTCCACATTTCATCTTGCAGATTTAAGCTCTCCTTTGCTTGGTGCATTACCTGCAAACATTTAGACTTTCGTATGTTTGAATTAGTGGAGAATATTTGTCTGTCTGTGGTTTGTAAAATCCGTTCTCTGACTGGCCTTGAGTTGCCTGTTGCTGTGTGAGCCGTGCGACCGGTCACCACAAGGCTCTGGCACTGTTTCTGCTACCTGGCTGGATTATTTCTTTCACATCCTTGGAGATCTTTAAGGACCTTTAAGCACTGCTGTGCAAATACATGAGGAGTAAGGATTTGTGGCTGACATTTTTCCCTTTGGAACATTCTAG